GCCAGGTTGTATTATGTTCCAAGTCAAAAATTCTGTCTCTGTCAGCCGAGGTTTGGCCTCAACCAGTGCTCTTTTGTAATAGAGTAGCTACAGGAATGACAACAATCGTTTTTATTGTTATTTTTGGATAAATTGTCACTTACAGGTGCTCACATATATCTATATTCACACACCCCTATCCACGCATTTACACAAAGCCAACTCATCGAATTAGACCGGCAAGATAGATCTAATCACACATCTGGGTTTAGAGAATGATGAGAATCTATTTCACTTGGAGAGAAAAAACACCGTCAGTTTATATCACCTAGCTCTCTCTCCCTAGATGTGAGTTTCTTTATAGTTAGAGCTAGAAATATATTAATCAATAAAAGTCTCCTACTTATATATTAATGCAAACAACTACCTCATGCTAGCGTTCACCTCTGACCCCCATTCTCTTTGCCAACTCTGCCTCCATGAACATTTCTTAATGCCCTTCTCCACGGCGCTTTTTGCCGCTTTCTCCTCATTCTTTACCCTAAGCAAAGACAATATTTGTTATTTGTAATTCAGGACATCTCAGGGCTGGCGGGGTTCGGTGATAAACTCATTACAGACGCGTGAAAATTAGCAACGAACTACAGTGAGAGGTGGCTCGGGCCACCGCCGCCGGCGGTCTGGCAAAAGAAAGAAGGACCGGTTGCCACCACAGCTCGCCGCGGCCTTGCTGTGTAATTCGGGGGTCCGGAGAAGCACTGGCTCCCCGAGGCCCGCCGGCCAATCCAGGCAGTGGATGCGGGCAGTGGACGGAGGGACTTGAAATATCTGCCGACACAGCCCGGTGTAAGACAGGCCACTATCTCCAGAGGGTTTTGCCTGATTGATTAGTCAAATTCCCGGCTGGTACAACTTGGACCAACTCGCTAGCCTTTGAACTAAGCCCAGCAATTGACATATGTGTGCTCCTACCAAGTATAAATATATAAATATCCATCTATACATATACATATCTGTAACGTATTTATTTATACACATATTGTATATCTATAGTGAAATCGTTATCCATATAATCGAAATACACACATGAACAAATATAAATCTGTCTAGGTCGAAATGCCAATTTATGGCAGTTATCTCACTATAAATATTTTACATGGATATATGTGAGTTTATATGTACCATCTCGGGTAACTACACATGTTTATTATGTGTATACACACATATGTGTGTGTGTATAAATATAGCTACCGTTATACACATATATGTGTATATATATACATATATGTATATGTGTGTGTGTGTGTATCCGAAGATAGATACAGCTATAGATACCACAAACATACAGAATAAAAGAAAGGAAAAGATCGACTCGGAGCCAAAATCCAGTCCTCAATTTTACAACGAGTTTGTCGCGGAGATCTGGGTCATAAACATTTTGTGGGCTTGGCAGAGACTATAATAATCCCAATAAATACAACGTGTGCCGAATTCCTAGAGCTTCCGGGTGGGTTAGTGGTTTTCTCAGTTTTCTTTTGCTTTTTTCAATTGGAAACAAACCCAGCTCCTGGGTTCCCCACTCTCCATATGCAATGATAGTAGTGGTGCTATGTGGTTTTGTGCTTCTGGAGGAGAGGGGTTGTTTGATTCTTTCCTTTTCTCTCCTTTCCTGGGACCTGAATCCCGCTCGCACCTCAATCGTTGTAGTTCATTTACTCTTTTCCCCCTCCGAACTAGGAAAACAAAAAAACTACAGAATCCTGGTGGTCGTCTCTCCTTTTTTCTTACCAAAAAGAGGAGAAAGGGGAGAAAGGAAAGGAAGAAAAGGAAAAGGAAGAGAAAGAGGAAAATCGAAGATAAAAATAATTGTGACTCTGCTTTTGGAGCTGAGGAATAAACATCAGTTTAAAAATAGTGGTCTATGTTGTTCAGAACATTGCAAATTGTCATTGTGCTGTCAATTCAATGGACAGTTTTTTTGGGGGGGACGCCAATAGGATTTTTAGACTCCAGGAAAAGGCAGTATTTAGGAAGAAAATCCGAGACTTCTAGAACTCATTTTCTATTCAAGTGCATCACGGTCCAATTTATTTAGATATCTCCTTCCAAATAACTAAATCAACTCCCAAGGTCTTCTGACCTGTTATGTTGAGGGTTTTTTTTTTTTGTTTGTTTGTTTGTTTTGCTTGCTTGTTTGTTTTTGTTATGTGTGAGTGGGTGGATGTTTCCCCCAAGAGTGCCGGGCTTCTCGAGGGCGAGCCTTGGGGTCCCCTGGCTCCTTCAGCTGGCCTGCTAGGGCTGGACCCAGGCTGGCCAAATTATTCCAGCTGAAAACGCCCTTCCTGGAAAGGCTGAACCCCATGCGTGAAGCCTCTCTCACGCGCGATGGTGGGGTGCCCCGTCAGGGTGGCAAATGACTGGGCCAGAGGGGCGTTCTTAAAGTGTACCCCAAAAGCTCTTTAAAAATCCATATCCTGCAAACTCCAACCTTTTTCAGGATTCAGTACAAGGCAGAGACCGGCCTTGTCCGTAAACCAATTTATCGTCTTTTTTCCTTTTTAACCCTCCCACCAAAGTATCAGTCAAAACATGAGCAGGACCGGAAATATCTGACCGTTGTTAAACTCAAATCAGTGGCTTCGAATCCAGAAATGCTCCCATAAAGTCGACATTTTAGAAGCTGCCCAGGGTCGGGGCTGAGGGCATCATGGCGGCAGTGCGGCTGCATCCATGGAACCACACTGCCATCTGCTGGCTTCTGGACGCCACTGCAGCTCTCTGGCATCCCTAGGATCTGGGCCTGCAGCTGTCCCCTTAACCAGCTGGCCTTGGAGCCAGGGAGGCCGGCCCCACTTCCAGCCCGCTGCAGGGTCCCAATTATAGAAAGGAGAAGGGGGGGAAAACAACCTCCATCCTCCTACTCTGTTGCTTAGAAAACATGAAAGATAAATGTCCAAACCGGAGCCCACGCCGCCCAAGGGGCAGCAACCAGTACCCATAAAAAGGAGCTGTTTCCTCACCACCAACCCCCCTTATCTTCAGCGGCCAGACAAAATAAATGAAAAAAAGCTTTTGTAGAAAAATCTTAATTGTGGCTGGACAGTTGTAAACTCATTAAGGGTCGAATTCCAGACAGTTTGCAGACCCGTCCTTTATTACACACCCTTAATGCCCATTCTTTGAAGTTTCTTCAGTCTGCAGCAACAGAGGATGTCCCAACATGGACCAATTAAGGTCCCTCTCTCCCTCCCTCCCTCTCCCGCTTTCTCTCCCTCCCTCTCTCTCTCTCTCTCTCTCTATCTCTATCTCCCTCTCTCTCTCTCTCTCACTATCTCCCTCCCTCCCTCCTTTTGACCAGCAGAACTATTTCCCCTTTTACTAACTATAACAACATATTCAGCTTTCCAGAGGGTGCCTTTTTAAAATGATGGGGGTGGGAGGAGAAAGAGTTCCATCAAGCCTCCCCGGCCCCTTGCACCTCTGAAGGGCCTCCCTGCCCGAATCGCGGCGGTGGCGGCGGCTCCCTAAGTTTTGTCCTCTCCCCCTGAAGCTTTACACCCCATAAACGCTAACAGCCGTCATTTTCTTTTATGGCGCTCCATGGTTCTGAGTTTTCCTTACAGATTCTTCTGCCAAGACTTGCCACTCCGAGTATTCGCTCTTTTGGGCCCCCCTACAAGGCAAGGCCCAAAGTGATTCTTCGGCGTCTCTGCTGCCCTTGCCCCGCCTGAGAAAGGCAGCTGGGGCGAGGGGTGGGGGGGGGGGTGGGGAGCGGGTGCGAAGGAGGAGGAAGAAGGCTTTCTCCGAGACCTAAAATGTCAGCTCAGGCAGGAACTACACTTTAGAGACGCCGTCTAACATTCTTTCTTTAGTTGTTCCCTAGAGTCCTTCCACGTCCTGAAAAAGAACGATTCCCTTTCCCTCTCACAGCAAAATTTCGTTTTTGCCCCAAGAATCCTTTCACCTTTTTGTCCTTTCTTACTTTTGATTTCTTTCTTTCTCCCTTTCTTTCCTCTTCCTTTTTCTCCCCAGGCCACTGGTTACATTTTATTTTTTTTATTGAAACATTTATCTCTCCAAAAGAGTCCTATCCTTTAGGAAAGAGACTTTCTCTTTCGAGTTAAAAACAAAAAAAGAAAAACGGATAAGAAGACCTGCAGAAAGACAGAGAGACGAAAAAAGAAAGAAAAGAAAGGAAAAGAAAGGTGATAGGAAAAGAGGAAAGAGGAAGAAAGAAAGATTTCTAAGTCTTGGGAGAGTCTGACACTTTGGGGAGGAGAAAGGAGGTGGAGGGGGGACTCTGTCCTCATTTTTCTGGGATTGGTGGCAAATGAATCAAGGAGAAAAATTTCGCAGTAATTCCGGCTCGCCAGGTCGTTCTCCACTACCCCGATTAGGCGCAAACAGGGTGTGGGTAGCTAGTTTCACTTAGCGTCCTTGGTCCCCCGTCCAGTCCTTTCCACATCTGGATTTACCTTCTGCTCTCTTTCGCTCCTTCGCTGGGCACTTTTGTCACCCCCTCTTCACCCACCCCCTTTCCTTCGGGGCTCCCTTGGACGAAGGGGTCCAGGGTGAGAAGGAGCCCCGAGCCTACACTAATGGGAACTCTCTGCTCTCCCCAGCTGCAGCCAGTTGGCTGATGAACCTTCCTCTCTCCCGTTCCCTCCCGACCGGGGGGCCGGCGTCTGGAATTCAGCCTGGAAGCTACTATCTCGGTCTGGGGAGAGAAAGAAAAAACTAAGGACCGAGAAAGAAGACTGCAACTACTGGCACGATGGCCTGGCCAGATGGAGGAGAGAGCAAAAAGAGGCCCAAATTCGTGCTTGGTCCGAGTCCTTTCCGCAGTCCCTTGGGCTCCCTGGCCCAGTCGCCCCTCCAGGACCTGGCTGGGAAGGAAGTAACCCGACAATGGCCGTTTGCAGAAGGACGTTCAAAACAGTGGACCCGCAGAATAGAAAAGAATCAATATATTTTTATTTGGCAAAAAGTTAAATATCATCTCAACACAACAGTTTGGTCAGTAGGCCATGAGGTAACTCTTGCAAAATATACAGTGTATTTATTGTTCTGTCTCAACACAAGTTCTCGAATTTCAAGTGATACAAATCTACGATAGCCCAATGGCAGGTTTCATAGCGCATAATTTATTATCAATAAAATTAACTCCATTACAATAAGCATTCGTTCCCCCCTCATTAAAATTAAACGTAAACTATAGGTAGTTAGTTACCTTCTTCACGTGGACAAATAACTCCTAAATCTGAAAACGGCTTCACTGGTGCAAAAACAAGATTCAAGCTCGTCTGAGTATTTACTTTTTTTTTTCCCTTTAATATATAGATTATATACAACTGACAAGACAGTACTAGAGATCAACTGTACAGACTAAAATGTCCCAATTGGAAAGACGTTGGGGAGAGGCTATGGAGTCCACGGATTCCCTCCCAGCCCAACGAGCTTCTGTTTGTTTCTTTTTTTCTTTTAATTTTTTTTCTTTGACTGGGGTGATATTATTTTATATACTCTCTCTATTTATATTACAATCAAAGGTGAACTGTCTAGTTATACAGAAGAAAGACTTATTACACTACAGAGCTAGACCCTTTGCCACATTTCTCCTCAACAACCTGAGTTCGAATGAGATTCCTAGCGTCCGGGATGACAACCGGTAGGGCCGGCACCCGAGCACAAAAGTGGATTCACGAACAATGATTAACCACAAACAAACACATGTTCAAGTATTACAGCAGCCGTCTCCGCTGCGCACAGAGCAAATCAAAGAACTACACACATTACACTCTACAGTCTGTCCAGAGAGTTGTGCATTAGGAAAAAGGTAGTTAATTTTTTTCCATAGGTAAGGAACAGGTAGATTTCTTATTTTCTTTTCTTTTTCTTTTTTTTTTTCAATACAAGCCAACACACACAGTCATACAGCACTAATGCCCCCTTTTTTTTGTCCTAGGATAGAAAATGAAAAAGCTTACAGTACCTCCGCCACAGCCTGGGCAAGACCCCCGTGCTACCGTGACAAGGTACACTCTTATGAATGATAGGGATTGGGGAAGAGGGAAAGAAGGGAAAGGGGAGGGAATGAGGCCTGGATACAGTCGTATTGTTTGGGGATCGTGGAGGCTGGGGAGGGGGGAAGGAATGGAGCGGGGGAAGATCTTCCCCCAGCCTTCCTATCAACCTGGGTCACATTATTCGTCCTTTGCTCTGTCTTTGTTAATTTTCTTCATTTTCATTCTTCTATTTTGAAACCATATTTTGACTTGTCTTTCGGTGAGGTTGAGGAGTCTTGCCACTTCATATCTGCGGTCCCTGGTGAGATACATATTAAACAAGAATTCCTTCTCCAGTTCTAGCGTTTGGTGCTTGGTGTAGGGACAGCGCTTTTTTCGGGTGGATCTTGCGTGCAGCCAGTTCGCAGCTGGGTTGTCTAGGGTGGGGGTGGAGGGGAATGGGAGAAGACAAGATAGCATGAGAAATTTTCCCCCCGTGGCGATTATAATAAGATAAGAATCTACAAGAAGAGCAGCAGTGCCCACCCAGCCTCACCCAATTTAGGGGTGGGGGGGCCTTTGGGGAAAATCCCGGGAGATCGAGGGTTAGAACGTTCCTTTCTTATTTCCCAAGACAGCGTGTGTGTGTGTGTGTGTGTGTGTGTGTGTGTGTGTGTGTGT